TAATGCATGAAAATATTCTAAAGTTTTTGTAAACATCAAGTAAAGAGAAACGTTTAACTGAGTGTACAGTATAAGAAAGTGAATGATTTCAATTGTTGTACTATAACTCTTCTTTTAAACAATCGTTAGAACAAACTAGAACTTTATGAACGGCTGTCTCAGATCTGCTGGCCCGATATTAACAGCAACTTTCGACTACAGGACAACAATAATAGGACAACTTGCCGCTGAAGAAGAAATTAGGAACAGAAAATAGGGCTGGATAGGGCTGGATAGGGCTGGATAGGGCTGGATGGGCTGCCTCCCACCAACAATCAATTCTGACGGTCTAAGGCCTAGTTGATTGATTGATAAAAACCCTTTAGCTATCTGCATGCCTCGGTCAGAATCCCAGACAATGAAACATGTCTGTCTAATTAATTAAATTTCTATGCCTGATTATGTCTCACCAGCCGTGACGTTTTAGCAAGGTCTAATGATTCCAGTCCCATGCTCCTCTTTGAAGCCTGGTGCCGTGATAGCACCAGACAGCTAGGAATCACACAAAGCATGCACGCACGCCACTATGAAGGGGAATAAAATAAAGACGGGCCTAGTTTGAAGACAGCTGCCACAACTCCCAAAAATAGCACAGATTTTCAATGTGAACTTAACCAATGCCGCTTGCACTACCCACTTGGCAACACTTCATTTTATTTTATAAAAGTGCATTTAATTGATCACTCCAACTTTGCAGCAATTGCTTACAATTTAAATTGAACATTATACTTATAAGCCTTCTTTTGTCCCCGTTCGTCGACCTGACTTACAAAAACTACCTTTTGTATAAATTATCCCCTTTAATCCAAGTTATATTATGCCTACAAATTTTAGATTGAATGCTTCCTATCCAGTAGAGCCGATTCCTATTATGTATGTATTATTGTACTTCAAGAAATCAATACATTTTTAATCATATTTCTGGTATAAGTCTGCAACATGATCCAATACTTGATACAGAATTCAAATGTGTTTATTTAGTGTCGCCAATCATTCATGTAAAACGTTGGTAGTGGGGGGGGGGGGAGAAATAAACGTAGAACGTTCTTTCAAACAGGCTTTTAAAATGGCTAGCACTCCACTCAGACATGTATGTCTTCATCTGGTGCTAAGTCATATATGACTGATTTTCCCTGCATCGCTGATATGTCCTACATGACTGATATGTCCTACAGGACTGATTTGTCCTACTTGACTGATATGTCCTACATGACTTATATGTCCTATATTACTGATTTGTCCTACATGACTGATTTGTCCTACATGACTGATTTGTCCTACATGACTGATTTGGCCTACATGACTGATTTGTCCTACATGACTGATTTGTCCTACATGACTGATTTGTCCTACATAACTACTTTGTTGTGCAGTATTGAAGAACTGTGTCGTGTGATGTGTGTAGTTACTGTGTACTCTGTGCAGTATGGAAGAACTGTGTCGTGTGATGTGTGTAGTTACTGTGTACTCTGTGCAGTATAGAAGAACTGTGTCGTGTGATGTGTGTAGTTACTGTGTACTCTGTGCCGTATGGAAGAAATGTGTCGTGTGATGTGTGTAGTTACTGTGTACTCTGTGCAGTATTGAAGAACTGTGTCGTGTGATGTGTGTAGTTACTGTGTACTCTGTGCAGTATTGAAGAACTGTGTCGTGTGATGTGTGTAGTTACTGTGTCGTGTGATGTGTGTAGTAACTGTGTCGTGTGATGTGTGTATTTACTGTGTCGTGTGATGTGTGTAGTAACTGTGTCGTGTGATGTGTGTAGTTACTGTGTCGTGTGATGTGTGTAGTAAGTGTGTCGTGTGATGTGTGTAGTTACTGTGTACTCTGTGCAGTATGGAAGAACTGTGTCGTGTGATGTGTGTAGTAACTGTGTCGTGTGATGTGTGTAGTTACTGTGTCGTGTGATGTGTGTAGTAACTGTGTCGTGTGATGTGTGTAGTTACTGTGTACTCTGTGCCGTATGTAAGAACTGTGTCGTGTGATGTGTGTAGTTACTGTGTACTCTGTGCAGTATGGAAGAACTGTGTCGTGTGATGTGTGTAGTTACTGTGTACTCTGTGCCGTATGTAAGTACTGTGTCGTGTGATGTGTGTAGTTACTGTGTACTCTGTGCAGTATGGAAGAACTGTGTCGTGTGATGTGTGTAGTAACTGTGTCGTGTGATGTGTGTAGTAACTGTGTCGTGTGATGTATGTAGTTACTGTGTCGTGTGATGTGTGTAGTAACTGTGTCGTGTGATGTGTGTAGTTACTGTGTACTCTGTGCAGTATGGAAGAACTGTGTCGTGTGATGTGTCGAGCGGTCTCTCTGTGTTTTTCCACACTGTCACAAATAGTGGCTTAAGTCCATGTTAATTGTTATAAAATATTTATTTTAAATTGAATTATACGATTATTATTAGAATAATTTTAAATACATTGGCTAGTTTGTTAAAAGCGTCGTCTTGTAAATGAGGCAATTCTCTGGGAGATACGTGCAAGATAGCGGGTAGGGAGCGGGGGTGGTACTGAACTATTTTTGCTGAAACAAAATTATACACCACTTCTCCAGTTTGTGTAAGCTATGAAAAAGTAAAAATTGAGACATATGCTCGGTCCTCAATATAAGATTTAATGACAACAGTTGTTAAATTAGTAACAAATAACATTGTATGCAGAAAGGAACATTTATAGCGAGTGTTTAAATGTAAAACAATAAATAGACAAAAATTGCAAAAGAAATTTGATGTTTAACTTAAAAAAACTGTTTTTAAAATATTTATGTAGGCCTACACGGTGTATACACCAGTTGAAAATGTAAAAAATTATGTGGCGTTTCAATAACTCTCAGGGGAAGCTACCTATAATATTCTGCTACGACACCACAATTATACTGGTTGTCTCGCTTTGACGATTCTAAATTTACACCGAGCCGGTGACCTATTCTAATAAAACACATGGGTGTTTGCTATCGAGACTATTATGGGGGGGGGGGGGGGGGCGGTAAATTGCCCAAACAACGTGATGTCTAGTTTTTACGGGGTAAATTGTGTAACTGTCTGTTATAATGTTTTAAAATTATAAGAGAGTAAACTTCAGTATCAGCAAATGAGAAACAGTTTATTGGGTTTAATTAATTGTTTACTGCTTGTAGTCAAATTGTGTATCATCATAATCAGTGGCGTGGCGAGGTCGGGCGTCACACGGTGCTGCATTTAATGGTGTCACCCCCCAGAGGCGTAGCTACCCTTCCCGGGGACAAACTTTCAAATTTTTTTGCACCCCCCCCCCCCCTTCAAACTTTCGATTTGCTATTTTTCGCCTTGGTGTCACCCCCCTAAATGGTGTCACCGGTGCGGTCCGCACCCCCCCCCCCCCCTCCCCCACTACGCCTCTGATCATAACAACATAATATTCTTACCTAGACAGTCAGTTTCAGTACTGAAATAAAGAAAACAAGCAATACAAAATTACCAGTGAAATAGTACTACTGAAACATACTTGTTGGGATTTTACACGTTAATTATAATGGCGAATATTTTTTTGGAAAAAAAAGATACGAAAAAGAAAAAAGTAGTTGTTTAACTATGAAAATGTATATTAGAAATATTAAAACGTTACTTTTTTTAACAGTTATTATTCTCAACTACTATACGTTAAATAAACAGTGAATAACATTTCAGAAAAATAAACACTATTAAAATAGCTAATTAGCTGGCTGCAGAGGCGTATCGAGGGGTGGGGGGTACATGGGTCCCCGGGCGCCGACCATAGGGGGCGCCAAAATGGGTTGGAAAAAAATTAAAGCTCATTTTAGCTGCAGTTTTGCATTATAAATATAAAAAAATATATTGGGGGGGGGGGCGCCACGAGAAAGTGTGTCCACGGGGGAAGGGGCGCCAAATTGAAAGTTTGTCCGAGAAGGGTCGCTACGCCTCTGACTGGCTGCAGCTGATGAATACTGTAAGGGTTTGAATTAGATGCATTATTGACTAGTGTGGTAGACGTCGATTGCTTTCAGTTTTTAACTAAATGTCTTAGAAAAGATTTACGTCGGGCGTTACTTTATAGGCATTAGCTTGATTGTCATGCATTAGTCATTCGACCAGGTATGAGTATGTCAGGTATTAGTAGGTCTAAGGCATGAATACGTTAGTACCTCAGGAACTGGTAAGTAAGGTATCGGTTAACTTATCTGGCACTTATCAATCAGGCACTAGTTTTAATCAGGCACTAATTAATCAGGCACTAGTTTTAATCAGACACTAATTAATCAGGCACTAGTTTTAATTAGGCACTGATTAATCAGGCACTAATTAATCAGGCACTAATTAATCATGTACTAATTAATCAGGCACTAATTAATCAGGTACTAATTATTCAGACACTAATTAATCATGCACTAGCTGTTAGGCTGTTGGTAAAAAATTAGAATGTACGTCAGACATCAGTTTGTAGCTCGAATTCAGGCTTTCGTTAGTGTTTCAGGTATAATTGAGTGTTATGTCAGAATTTGACTAGTTTGTCAGGCATTAGCTAGTGTGTCATACATTACTGGAACTACGCCAGGTATTAATTGGTGTACCACAAATACTCAATCCAGCTTTCATAAACCAAATAATTCATGTCTAAAACAGATTCTCGTATCGAAAGCGTCGATAATGTCCCCCTCATACGTTTGTAATGGAACTAGCAGACAACGCCTGTATTCGGCATTAGGAGCAGACAACGCCTGTATTCGGCATTAGGCACATCTAACTAGCTCTGAGCGTCAAGAAGTGGGGCGTTGCCAAAGCTAGCCCATGGGGCTCGCCGCCCCCTCCCCTAAGTCCGCTAAAACTACGTCTCCTTACACTCTGGTCACCGAACAAAATTTCACTTTTTCCGTTACAGGAAACAACAATTCAGAACACCGTCTATGGCGAACAGTTGTTGCTTGTTTTTGATGACATGTACGCTCAAAAAAAGATATCCTTTTAAGTTTATATAGGTTAGTCCACACAAAAATTAGTCTGGTGTAGTAATCCTACAATCAAACTAAATTTTTACAGTAACAGTAAGGTTTTTTTGACGCGTCATTCTCACAATCCGCCTGCCCCTTATAGAAGTTCAATCTGTCAACAGAGTCCCCTACAACGACACTGGAACTTCTCCCAGAACTAATTGTCTCATTCAAAAGTTGAATAATTTTTACATTATCTCCCTTGGGAGTCTGTATTGTCCCTTCATAGATCGCCTCCCCTGGGGTAGTTTGAAACCGAATCTTAAATAACTGTTTATCTTTTTCTTTTTGTTTTGGTAATTGTATCCTCAATAACTGAAGAGTTTTTTGCAGTTTTAATTTTTCGCATATATTTTGATTCCGTTTGGAGTTTATTTTTAGCACAATGACCTCAGAGAAGGCGTGGAAGAGTTCATCATGGCGCGGGACTGTCTCAATGTTGACTTGGTCACAGAGACAGAACTCCAGCGGTATCGGAATGTCCTCGCACGTCCGGTTGATTGGAATCTCTTTGAAGAGGCTGATGCCGTGTTTTCCTGGAGCTAGCGGGCTGGGGGTTTTCGGCCGGAAGTAGATTAAATCCTGCAGTGTGGCATGCGTGTCGAAGTGGGTGGTCAGCCTTTGTGTGTTGGTCTTCAAGTTGGTTCTGATTTCCGGGTACTTGTCTAAAAACCATTTGGGAAAGGAAAAAATGGCGTATGGCGAACGACTTTCGACCATGCCGTTAACGGTCGATCTAATGGCGCCCCATCGTGGTCCATGATCTGAGAAAGTTATGACTACTGTGTTGTTAAGATGTCCTTTCTGCTTCATAGTTTTGTAAAAATTAAACAAATGCGCATCCGCCATTTTGGAATTTGTCATATCATCGTGGGTTAGTTTCGTAAACAACGACATGGCGTAGATCGGCGTGTTGGGGTAGGTGTCGAAAAATTTCTCCATGTAATTTAAATGAAAAACGATATCCGGGATATTCCCAGCGCAATGATACCCAGGCTTCTGTAAATCTTTATCCCTCTCCATCGCCATACTAACCGGTCGGCTGTAGTAGGTTGTGGGCGGGAGTTTAAACCCGGGTTTTTCGTAATGGAAACCCCCGATGGAGGGGATGTCCTCTGTGTATAAAGTCCTGAACCCCGCCTTCCGGAAATCGCCCCAAACTAGGTCAAACTCGTCCGTATTGGTGGACCACTCCCACCACTCCTCCACCTCACTGATGTTGTATCCGGTCAACAAGGGGAGGTAATTCGGGAAAGTGTTTTTCCCGAGTTGCGTGTACATTTCCATATCAAAAGAGTTGAGTTCGTTTTTAAGAAACGAATACGTCAGGTTCATTGACCTAATAAACTGGTGCCTGGATAACCCGTCCATGCCTACCATTAAAATATTCAGCGTCTCCGCAGGCGCTAGTAATTTGCTGCGTTTTTTTAGCTTTAATGTATTCAATTCATCACGTGGTGGGATTAACGCATGATATGATTTCGAGATGACTTTTGAATTTTTATTCTCGCACTCGACCAACAAAAACTCGACACTTTCAGAAAATGTGAGGCTTTTGTTGAACTCTTCACTCCAGTCTCCAAACTTAACGTCTTTATCGCTCGTCGGATGTTTCACAATTTCTCGGTATTTACACGATTTAAAATCTCCTGGTATTTTTGTACTGTTGACGACTACCTGATTCTTATCGATGTACGTGAGATCCGGCATAAACCCCTCACACTTAATCGGGGTCTTGTCCAGACCGGATAACACCAAAATCTCGACCTTGAAAGGGTCAACATCCGGGTACAAACACCCAAACAGCTCACTCGATCTCACGTTGCCAGATTTATTGTCGAACAGGCCAGATTTGAACTGGGAAAACTGGACGTTTTTTTCCAGCAAGTTCAGATCAGCGTCAAGGGAAGCAATCCTTTGTTATTGTTCTTCCTCTGATGAGATGTAGCGCTCAACTAAAACATAGGACGAGCAGATAACTAGCAGCACACCAAACATGAGTTGTAGAACTTGGGACCGGGACAGCCTGCAGACTGAATTAAAATGTAGATGTATTTACCGATATATTATTCTTGTGTATATCTGTATATTATTATATACATATATAAATATATATATATATAGGGATATATATGTATATATAGCTATAAATGTATAGCTATATATACATACACACACACATATATATATATATATATATATATATATATATATATATATATATATATATATATATATATATATATATATATATATATATATATATATATATGTGTATATGTATGTATACATAGTTATATGTATAGTTATACATGAAATGTTTTACCATCATCGTTAGCTTTACGTTACGCATTTGTATTTTATTTCAATAAAAGATTACATCATTAAAGGTTGATTTTGGGTTGAATACCTGTTTACATTAGGTGTACCTGAAAACTACGGTGATTCTAATATATTATTATAAGTTTATACGTAGGACTACATATATCATATAATTTTTACTTTACAAGACTTTTTAAACTTTAATTAATCATTAACTAAACAGACAAACAGCTTTTTTTTCAATAAATTTTGCATTTTTTTGTCTGGGTGTTCCACCCCCCCCTCCTAAATGTCGCCCCCCCCCCCCCCCACCCGCCACTGGGTACAGGTATATGTACATGTACATGTAAATGTACAGGTACATAAATAAAAGTCTATTTTTTTTAAATGTAGGCCTGCCCAGAGAACCTTGAATACAAAAGGATAAATAAAGGTAGGCTATCAAAGAAAGTTATCACAATCACTTTAAAATGGGTTTGTGCCCCTAGTATTAAAAAATGTCTGAAATTTAAAAAAAAAAAAAAAAAAAATTCGAACATTTTTGTCTGGTAGGTCTGGAATAGAAAAGGTAATCGTCAAACATCCTTATTCTCCCTCCACCCCTTCCCTCCAAACACATCACACACACACACACACTGTTTGAGTTTTAATTGGGTTTTCCTGTGTGTTTTTAACACAATCTTGAAATTTGATCGCACGAAAATTGGATTGGACGCTGGTTATTAAAGTAAACGAGCCGACCCGCGGCGTATCATATGCCGCTATTTAGTTGTTTATTTTCTACTTTTCAGTAATTCATAATTTGTGAATTCGACAGTACCAATGCTGCCACTGAAAATATTTGCTTTAAAATACTATCAGTTGGTCGTTAAGGGCGATAACCCCCCGCCCCACCTCATTTCCCCCAACCCCTACCCCAGCCCCCGTGAAAGCAGCCTCCTCTTTTAATTACCTCCCCTAAGTTTAAAATAGTTTCAAACTAAATTATCTGCCCCTAATAGGAGTCACTAAACCCGGCTCTACGATTGTAAACCACAACGCACCAGACCATGTGGGGGTGGGGGAGGTTGATCTATGCCTAGTGAAGAAGAGAGGGGACTGCAAGGCGCGCTTACAGCTTGTTTTCTAGCGTCTCCCAGAAGAGAAGTATATATACGAGCCGACCCGCGGTGTATCATACGCCGCTATTTAGTTGTTGTTTTTTCTACTTTTCCCTAAACACCCCCCCCCTCGTGAAAGCAGCCTCCTCTTAGTTACCTCCTCTAAGTTTAAAACCGTTTCAAACTAAATTATCTGCCCCTAATAGCCGTCACCAAACCCGACTCTACGATTGTAAAATGTAAACATTTAGCGTGAACCACAGCTCACCAGACCATGTGGGGGTGGGGGCGGTAGCGATAGAGAGGAAGAGAGGGCATACAGGTACAGTGACATCTGGCCGACAGGTACGGTGACATCTGGCTGACAGGTACGGTGACATCTGGCATACAGGTACACGACAGGTACAGTGACATCTAGCTGACAGGTACAGTGACATCTGGCTGACAGGTACACGACAGGTACAGTGACATCTAGCTGACAGGTACAGTGACATCTGGCTGACAGGTACACGACAGGTACAGTGACATCTGGCTGACAGGTACAGTGACATCTGGCTGACAGGTACAGTGACATCTGGCTGACAGGTACACGACAGGTACAGTGACATCTGGCTGACAGGTACAGTGACATCTGGCTGACAGGTACACGACAGGTACAGTGACATCTAGCTGACAGGTACACGACAGGTACAGTGACATCTAGCTGACAGGTACAGTTACATCTGGCTGACAGGTACAGTGACATCTGGCTGACAGGTACACGACAGGTACAGTGACATCTAGCTGACAGGTACACGACAGGTACAGTGACATCTAGCTGACAGGTACAGTGACATCTGGCCGACAGGTACACGACAGGTACAGTGACATCTGGCTGACAGGTACAGTGACATTTAGCCGACAAGTACAGTGACATTTAGCCGACAGGTAAGGTTACATCAGACACAACTCTCCAACGTGCCAACATCTTGCCTCCAACATCAGATAATGTCTTTACAGTAGCTCTACCAGCCAAGGTCAAAAACTTTAATTTAGCATGAAATGGCATACAGACGTAGTTTATCTTACTTGCTGCACTCAACACATCGCAACAATAGTCATGTTTAGTTCAACCACCTTTACTGCCCAGATTTATCGCGCTCATTACATAACAAAATTTAGGATCAGAGTTTCTTCCAGGCATCTCTTCGGGGGGCAAAGCCACCCCGAAAATTTTTTACCGCCCCCCCCCCCGAACGAAATGAAATTTATATAATTTTTATATAGAAAATATATACTTTTAACAATGTCCGCCCCCCCCCCCCGAAGAAAGTCTACCGCCCCCCCCCCCCGAAAATTTCAAGTGCCCCCCCCCCCCGGAGAAAAAAGTCTGGAAGAAACACTGTTTAGGATCAAAACAGAAAGCCGACAAGGTTCAAAGGCTGTCATTGACGCTCTAAGTCAACAACACAAAATATGTTCGGACAATGTCTACCGAGGAGAGGACGACCAAAGAATAGCATACGGCAAAACATAAGCAAAACACAATCTGCCTAAATTTCTTTTATAATTAAATTTTTTACCGCGTAACAAAAGTTGAGATTGTTGGGTAAATTATCTTAGAGTATCTTTTACTAACAATTGTTATAAACCATAATGCTTTTAATGTCTATAAATAATTTATGCTATCAAAAAATACAACCAACAACAATTAACATAATTTTTTTTTACAATTCTTAAGAAGTAAATAAATATATTTCTAAAAAGATTTTTGTGACTTTTTTGTGACTTTATTTCTGTGACTTTTTTACCGATAAAATTTTTCCATTGTGGCTTTTTTTCTGTGACTTTTTTCCTATAAAAAATTGTGACTTTTTTCTGTGTTTTTTTTTTCTGTGACTTTTTTTTTCCATTCACCTAACTCCCAGGGCTTTTCCAGCACCACAAGGGGTGTAAACTCAAGGTATATTCAACCAAGCTGGGCAGACCAGCATGGGTAGAGGTCAGACCAAAGCTAGCTACCAGGTTGGCGGTTGAAACTTAAGGCCAGCACCCTTATAGTGTAAATAAAGATGCTACAGATATATCAACTGTCAACAAAATTACAAGTTCATAGAAGCTGACAAATCTCCTTGTTGTGTACGAGTTAGTATTTGAATTACCTTATATAGCATTGCTGGATCGTTTTATTTTAAATTTTGAGATTCCGAGCCCTAATATTTTTTAATAATTACTAAATCCATATCCAATTACTATCGCTTCAAGGGATATATCTTTACGTATGGCAGGTATTATGACATTACTTCACTTTCTTGACAGTGTCTTATCTAACATATCCTTCAGTTATTCCTCATGTGGTGGTTTCAGATTCTCTGATTTAATTATACACTTTTAAAGCTACCTCATTCTCAGCCACATTAGCACAATTGACTAATTCTTAACTAAAATTCGCAATAACCTTGTAGGCGTTTCTTCAGGCATCTCACAGTTGTGTTTATTAGAAATGCTTAAAATGTGCAGATGTTTACCAAAGCATGATTCATCTAAATATTTTTAAATAACAGTTCATGCATTAAATGAGTAAAAAGAATAAAATTTCATAAAAACGATTTAATAACAAGCTTATATGTACTTATGCACTATAAAGTAGAAAATAAATTATAGACTACTATTTAAATAACTATAAAAAAGCGTGGGTCTCTTCTCAAATATTAGTAAAGGTATCCAATCGATACTAAAGTGGCTCCCGCTTTTCTTTATAATTATTTAAAAAGTAGTCTATAATTTATTTTCTACTTTTTAGTGCAATAGTACATAAAAGCTTGTTATTAAAACGTTTTTATGGAAAAAAAAATGTTAGTACTTTACAATAGAGTTTCATGACTAAAACCATTGCGCGCTTATTGAAACGTGATGACGCGCTATTGAACATGATGACGCGTGTGGAGTAGTTGGATAGAAATTCCTACTAATTTGGTCAAAATTTCAATTAATTAATAAAAAATTAATTAGGCA